TCATTTCATGTCATTCTGCTTTTCTACAAACAAAAGCTTGCACCCCTAGCAAAGGCCTGTAAAAAACATTTTGAAATTGTTTCACAAATGTAGACAATGCAACTTCTGTTTTAATGTGGAAAAATTTAAGCGAGGGATTTAATATGAGGTCATAGAGAGACAAGAGTCAATGGTCTTTTTTTTATTCGTTCTGCTCTTCAACTCACCCCACAGGTGTAATGTAGGATTTAGGTCTGCAGACTGAGATGGTGATGGAAAAAGTGATGGATTTGACCATATGTTGTCTATTATTGTCCTACTGAAAGGCCCAATGATGACAGATTTCAAATTAATAATAAAATCTACCAGATTTTCAGTTAAAACTTCCTGGAGTTTTAATATAGACATACCTAACCATGGTTCTTAGGCCCCACCAGTCACTGTTTGAGACTGGTTAAAAACTGGCTTTTTAACAAGTCTTTTTTCAGCTTTTGGGCATCCTGTATTTATGCACTATAGGTCAATTTGAAATCTGGAACCCTTTTTGGTGTTTAAAGAGTTTAGCATCAGGGAAAATATGCTTACTTTGCCTCTCAAATCAGGATTTGCTTAGCTGCCGCATTTAACATGGTGAAATGGTGACGGTGCTGACCTTATTCTATTTTTACATTCCCAAAAACACATTTACCAACTCAAATGCATCTTTTCCATCACAAATCTTGCAATTATTATAATAAGCAAGAGCAGTATTACTGGTTTTTCTCTGATTTTGGAGAGATGCTACAGCTTTCTTTTGCCTTTGTAAGTGTACCATAGACTAAATTTTTGTAATGCTGTTTAGATTTTGAAACTTGCTGCATTGTAACTCTGTCATATTTTTTGAATTAAATTGGCTAAACTGAAAAGCCCACAAGCATTTAGAAGCAGGAAATGAAGTGACAGAAGAGATTTATCTGCAACGAACATGACGATCAGATCTCACCTTGATAACCTTTAAGAATAGTGTAACATTATTCAGCTGGCAGCTCCGCACGAAATATGAAAGGATTTGGATATGTACTTTTCCCCTTCTCAAGAAGCAGGTGTAACAATATTAGCTTTGCTTTATGTGATTCCCCAACTGAAACATGCTGGTGTAGGAAGGAGGCACATTGAGGGAGGTATGCTGCTACAAAAAGAAAAAGTCTTGGGTTTTGTTTTGGGAGAGTGAAGGAATTACCTGTTTTCTGGGGTGCTGCTAGGGTCATGAGGCACTCCATGTGAGGTAGATGTGATATTGGAAACTGTTTGAAAGGTGGGAAGCAAGATGGAAATGAAAGAAAACTGAGCAATGTTACATAACTGGAAAAGGAGAAGTACTCCAGCTGCAATGACGAGAACATTATCCCCAAGTCCTCATCCATAACTTAATGTTTTCATATTTTTCTGTTGTGAATGCTGACTTGGAATGTTTCAATCTGACAATCAGTAAATTACAGATTTTGTGTATCTCAATAATACCTTGCCTAATTACTTTTTTTCCCCCCATTATCTTGCTGTCGTTTTTTGTTTGTTTTTGTTTTTTTTTTCTTGATATCTTCTACAAATCTAAAAAAGTAATTTGAGATTTCCTTGTCATATGCAATTCGTCTAAAACATTTAGTGCAGTACACTGCAAATTGTTAATGGGGCAGATATTGAACATATACTCACTCCTGGTAGAATGCAAGACAAATTCAATATTGATAAATCATTTCATCGATGAAATGAGACATAATGAGACATTTATCCTGCCTGTTTCAGCTGAATAATAAATAAATTAGTAGTAGTGGATTTCAAGTCTATGTACACATTTAATATAATACTTATTTGAAGCGTTTTTTGCTTCAGTTTCACAATTCAGACTTCTGGAGTTCCCACGTACTGTTAGTTATAGTGGCGTTTGCTATCCTACTTGGATTTTCCTTTGCACCAGAGGGCTCTTTTTGTGCAATGGTATTTTTCAGGAACAAGAGGCTTTCACAAATCATGGCATCACCAGAGTAAAATTGAAGCTCGGTGTCTAGCCAGAGTTCTAAAATAAATGTGGTGGGAAAAAATGAGGGCTTTGCCTCATTTCCCAGTGTGAAGTACCTGGAGAGACTGTGGAAAAGTGATTCCCTCATAATCTTGACAGATTTGAAGAATTTCTGAGAGGTTAGACCAAGTCAAGACGTGTCATTTGGATCAACTCCTGTCAAACACGTCTATTGCTAAAAATGTGTGTTTCAATAAAGTAATACTTTAGGGGTGTTCTGCCTCATCCATTGTTGTAGTCAAATTGCACAGAAAAAAACACAATAGGTGGAAAAGGTTCAGAGTTTTATTTATTGACATTAGTGGTATTTTCTACAGAAATACATTGTTGAGTTGAAACATTAAAACTCAAAAAGCTTGTATACTTTTTTGTCTACAATGAATATGTTCACAAGAGTTAGAGTGCTGAAATGTAATTGACCTAGTCTACTAGTATTTGAAAAGCAGACAATCACCAATTCATTTAAAACAGAAAAAAAATCCTTGAATGAAATTTGAGGCTTTTTATCTTCTAAAACTACATTAAAATTAAATTAAAACCATGTTTGGAGTGTAGTTTCTCCATCTGAGCTTCTTTAAAGGCAAAGCAGAACCTTTAAATCTTTTTAACTCTTAAAAGTATTCAAGAAAATTATAATTACATTTAAGTCAGTGAACATTTAAAATATAGGTAACAATGACAGATGTGTGACGGATTTGGAGACATGCAGCACTGTTTCCAATATCTTAACAGATTTTAATCTGTTAAATTACTGTATATGCAGATGATCCCTTGTTTTAAATTCCAATGACATTTTTCTGATTCTCTGGGCATTCTTTGATACTGAAGGTTGTAATGTTCTTGCTGTTTAAGTTTCTCAGTATTCATCTCTCACACTGGTCCCACCATGTAAAAACCTCAGAATGGAGCAGCCTTAGTAGTTGCAGGAAGGAGAACACGAGCTGCATAGGGATAAGATGCTGGCTTAATCACCATCTGGTCCACATCCAGGGGTCTCATTCTCACAGATTCTCACCGGCTCAAAGAATTTAACTCGTCCAAAGAGCCGCAGATCTGACAGCAGGGCTTTGACCCTGCGACCAGGCAACGGGCCAGAGAAGAGCCGAGTATGGGGAGAGAGGCCTGTGCTCATGAACAAAATCTGTTGACACTATAGGACCCTGAGACAGAGATTTAATATTCATCTGCCACATAATGGCAAGTTTTACCCTTGATCTTCCATTGTTTTAAGCTTGGTGGGAGTCTCTGAAGTCCTGCTGTTAAAATGAAAAATACTCTAAGATTCTGCAGCTTCTTTGTGGTTTCTGTCTGTGTTATACCCCGTTTTAAATTCACACCCCTCAGATATTTTCCCTCTCTACCAAAAGCCACAGCAATGCTTCTGCTGGTTATCCCATTGAAAGAAATTTGCCAGGGATGAGGTCATTCTTCATAGTGTCAAATTCTTGGAATTTGGGCACCCTCAGCCTTGACTGCCCAGCAGACTTGTTGAAAACAAACTCTGGGTGGAACAAAGGGGGCCCCACCTCTGTCACCAGTGGCCATCTTCATCCTGGGCTTCCTTGGAGGCCCGCAGCCCATGCCTGACGTCATGGTAGCGAAACCATTATGAGGAGATTAGCTCGAGTTTAGCGCAAATCCTCATCGGCAAAGCTTTTTCTCCCCTTTTACTTTTTTCTTGTCCCATCAGTTTACATGTCCACAGGTTACTGTTCTTTAACACACCTCTCTCCATGTCTGTTATTTGACTCCTCTCTTGTCTGATTTGCTCATCATTGTTTTCTAAACTTTGTTTTTCTTCTCTGGCACGCAGGGACTCATTTCCAAGGTTCATATGCATTTCAAAAGGTGCAGGGGCCTCCTTGTACCAACACGAAGAATTGAGCCGAGCGGCAGCGTGAATTTTAAAACGCTCTTCTGTAGTGAGCGGAGCGGGTTCTCAGCCAGACCATTAAAGCTCACAGTGTAAACCAAATGGCTCTGGGTCATTTCACCCTTGCCAATTTCTGTCCCTGTTTAATATCTATATACTGACAATACCAGGCTTTATTTTTTATGTCATGCCTGTAAACCTTACTATCTGAATTGATGCCCTTTTCTATTGTTATTTTTCAGTGTTTCCTATTTTTACATGAAATGAGTGGCAACATGTTTTGCATGATAGCATTCTGCATCATTTGGTTTGTTATAAATGATTATTTGCGCTACTGTTGCCTGTCCATCTTCTCAAACCAGTCTACTCATTACCCACTAACATTAACACGGCATTTCTGTTCACTCAACTGCCAAGACACTGGATGTTATTGGGATTTTTCTCACCATTCTCTATAAGCTCAATAGATTGTGTATGTAACAATCCCAGGATATCAAGAACACCGTGGCATGTTCAAAGTTATTCATTTCCATTCGGGTCACTTTCAGCTTTAGGAAGTACTCTTCACTACATCCATATGATTTTTGGCTGATTGACAGTTTGCATTAACAAGCAACTGAACCTAATAAAATAGCTAATGAGCCATTTGGGCCAAAGGCCTCAGACTTGCACAATGAATGGATGGATCCATACAACTGACCTTGTGCTGGTAGCCAATTTTTACTGGTGCCATTTAACGTTTTACCGAAAAGTAGACTATGAGTACCGAACAGAAAATTACTTTATATTGTCAGCTGTAAAAACGGGTACAAAACATTCTCCTGGCAGACACAAACAGATGCATTGTGATCCAAAATGTCTAGGATTAGACCAAACCCCTTTTTATACCCAATAAAAAATCAGGTATGGAACCAAGAAAACTGTAAAAGTAAAAAATGCCAAAGTAGTAAAACGACTATAACCCAGAATTGACTAATCCATGTATACATTACAATATGTCCTTTTTCTGTGCCACAGCTTTCTCAATTATTGTTTTCTGCACATCTCTTTTAGCAAGATCTTCGGCTTAAACTTTTCTCATTGTTTTTGCAGGATGAACTGGACTTGACTGACAAGAATAGAGAGGCTATGTTTGCACTGCCCAATGAGAAGAAATGGCAGATCTACTGCAGCAAGAAGAAGGTGAGTTAGGTTGTGTTTTGTACTTTATCATACATCAGCTCTGATCCTCTGGCTGGCCTTCTGTTGACTGGCTGCCTGAAGCCACAGTTTAGAACCAAATGTCAACCTTCAGTGAAGGGGGGAAAAAAGCATCCCCTCACGGCCCACATTTCTGCTTCTAATTTCTTTAACGTAAACATGTGCACGTATCGCAGTATTGTTACAGGGTGTGATTGTTTTTGAAAGCTGCGGTGAGGATTGTGGCAGGACTGAAACGTTCTCCTCTCATTGCTGAGCAAGCATTTTACTGAAACTGTTAAAGAATTGTGATCATACCATCAGAACTGGAGAGTGTTTTTTTTGCCCTCTCTTCAACCCTCCTTCTTGCAGGAAAACATCCTAAATGTCTTTGATCTGTTTCTCCACAAGACCTCTGGTCCGAGTTTATGGTTGAACATCCAAAGCATTACGCTTGAAGTACAATGACAATTCTTTATCAGCCCTCTCGCTCATACAGAAATGTCTATTGTGTCTCTCTGCTTATTTGCTTTTGGAAAGTTTCTACTTTAGCTTAGCTTGTCTTGGTGGAATATGTTCTGACAACCTATTGTAATAAGTAAACCCATATAGTTTTTATTTTTTTAATTTTTTTAATTCTTGTGTTGGCACACGTTCATGAGCACCTGCATGTGTACTGACCTGGATTGGGTTTCAGTATTCTAACCAAAGGGGAGCAGCAGGGTTGTGGGATGTTTAGAGGGATGTCAAGGCAAAGATGGAAACTGGAGTATGAACAGGAGAAATACACAAGAAAAATACAGTCTAACTTTTATTGCATGATGATAAGCTGCTGTGCCTTCGGATGCTCTGTGCTTCATCAAAGAGGATTGGATTCTTGGCCGAATTCACAGTTGCAAACCCACAGTACAGTTCAATAAAACTTCTGTATCAGTTATTGAGTAACTCACTAAGGCAGCCACAGACTTTTATGAGGACTGTCTGGGCTGTAGCACAAGGTAGTGGAAACAAAGTTTTGGCAGCAGCCCGGGCACTTTGGATCTGTGTGAGTCTAAGCCGGGTTCATAGCTAGGATATATTAGTTTGTCATTCCACCTCCATCTCTCCCAGTCAGAAATCATTTCCTCTGCAAAGTCTTGTGTCCAGGCCAGAAAACGAGGAGCTAGACCAGGGTAACGGTGAACAGCGGAAAGCCGGAGGAAAATCCAAACAAATCCCTCATTCATGGAGAGAGCCGTTGCACTGAAGAATGAGAGGGAGAGACACAAAACAAAAGCAACTGGGTGCAATATCAGATATAATCTGCTTTGTGTATTGTTGTGCAGCTACGGTGATATGAAAGTTGCCCTCACATGCACAGTGTCAGACAGGCATGAAAAGTAAAAACCCACATACACTAGAAAGGAAAATTAAGCAGGTTATGCAGAAACAACACATTTGGGCCCTACACAGTAGAGCTTTATGTTGCACAGAGTGAACACATGACAGCAATTTGAATGGGGAGCAACGTTTTCCTCGAACCATCTTGCTAAAAATGAACACTGCTTGTCTTGTTTGCCTCAGTGAAGCGACAGCTCCAGTTGTTGTGGTTAGACTATTCTTTGAGGTAGGAACAAAGAAAATCTATCATTATCCCGCTGCCAATCAAACTGCACAACGCATTTAGTGTGAAACTATTAACACATTTTAGTTTCCTTTCGGCATATTCTCGTGAACGCCACAAATAGGAATTTAATTTGCAATATCAAAATATTTATGTCTTAAGAAACCCTTCCAAATGCATTTTGATTTGTGGAGCCGCAATGATATTCTAACAGATCTCTTGATTAGAAATGTTGGTGCACTTACTTATTGCGTTAGTTATCCACTTAGCCAGTGGCAAAGCATCAATGTTTTCTGAACTTTTGTTAATTCAAATCAAGCGTTTTAGTTTAACTTTAGTCCAAAATTAGAGTGAGAAATTAAAATAGGCGACTGAAAGCTCAGAAGGAACAAGGTGACATCTCGGTTTTTTTTGTTGTTTTTTTTTTACACTGCAGCCTGAGTGAACAATAGACATGTCTCAACACATTGTAAAACCTAGCTTCTTACACCTCTGTGCTTCCTTTAAATTTTATCCATTCTATTTATTCTGTATTGGCTTCCTGTGAGTCATCTTTACTCTGTAAACAACTTTCACACTGAATATTGTTGTTGTGGGTTGCATTGAAACGGATCAAGCTAGAAATGGACTCATTCTGATCACCTGGAGATTTTTCAGTACGTTGCTAATTCTTTCTTTATCTCAAAAATCAGTCAGTTAGTTTGGCGAAGCTGTACAATGCTGATTTTATGAGCATATATCTATTCACGGGAATTGTTTCCAAACCAGACTTCCTCCAGCATCTTGTGACACGGAAGGTTTATTTAGTTTGTAACATGTCTGCAAAGAGCTAAACCATGAATTAGTTATTAGTAATTTTTGTCAGTAATTCTAACTTGTGAGCACAATCACACAAACCCAATTTCGGTCAATAAACCTTTTGAGTGAATGAATCATTTGCTTTTAGTGTTTAGAAAGCTTAAATGGTCTAAATCAACAGCTAAACCACTAAAGGTTTTTTTGCAATTACAGCAACAGTGACAAATTGTGATCTGAACGAGGCTGGAAAACGTCAAATATTAAATATAAATGCAAATAATGAAGAGTAAACACCAGTATTAACCCTTAAACTGTTAACCATTTGTCTCCCAAAGCCAATACACCATTTCATGTCTCTGCCACAGCCAGAGGGTCTCAGAAATGTTAATACAGAAATGGCATCAGTTTAGCTTTTATATGAGCATTTCCCATTCGTGCCTGTGAGGGTGTATACTTGTTTTTGCATGACTTGCATCAAGTCGCCTGCAGGTTGAGAACACGATGTAACATCTAATAGCTCCTTATAATTGTCCAGTGCTGGAGGCCAAACAGGGTCTCCTGATTTCCATTAGTTGCGCTGCACTGACACACAAACACACACTTGTGTTTTCAGGCCACGATCACAGAGCGAGTCCCTGACCAAGCTACAACCCCAATTCTAAAAGCTTAGGGGCTTTTAGATTATTTAAAACCTTAAATAATCCAATGACAAGCAGCTCAAAATATGAAGCTATATTTTTATATCTAAAACATTACATTTTCTGTATGATGCCAGAAACATAATATAAAATATTGCATAAGAGACAAACTTAAATGTTTCCCAAAATGTAAAAACTAACTTTCTAACTGTAACAAATGAATTTCATTATCTGCTCTTCTAAATATTTTAAACCAAGCCCATGTAATGAGAGGGTATAAATTGTTTTAATCCTTTAATCAAAATGGTGCCATGATGAACAGCAGAATATTGCTTCAGGCAGTTCCTGGACAATTTGATATTTAGTAGAAATAATTAGAGAGCGTCATCAGTCGACAACTTGCAGATACAGTAACTTGATAGAGTTAGGTAGGTGGTGAGACGTGGGTTTGCTTGGAAAAAGAATGTCTCGTCATGCTACTGTCAGAAATGTGAAACATGTACATGTTGCATTGCACTGTGAAGGTTTAGGATTGCTCAAAATAGAATGATCGTGTTATACACCGGATGCTAATGACACGCTTACATCTTGATATCCGAGTCTTTTCATCACCCTTTGACAAACTGCTTCCCCATTAATTTCCATCACACAGACTCCAAATTTACTGCTCCATGGATAGCCTCATTGACGAGTCTCATGCTGAGGTCTTTTCATCCACAATAAATCCATTTCCAACCATATGTATGTTGAGTCACTCAGTCTGCTAAACCTGGCAGGCTTTGAAGTATAGCTTTATGGTTACTTCTAAACTAAGAGAATAAAAGGGTTTCAGGACTCCATTCTGCACTGAATTGGGGTTTCTGTCTGGACCAACAAGAGGCATTCTCACACCCACTGTGTATTGAGTCATCACTTTCAAATCTAATAGTAAATGGACTGAACTTATATAGAGCTTTTCCAGTCATTTTGACCACTCAAAGCGCTTACACTAGAATCACTGTCTAATTTGAACTCATATTTTTGTCATGTAGCACAAGCACATAATGATTTTTGGATAAAGGCGGTTGTAATACAAACGCAATATTTATTTTGTTTAAAGTGATTATTTTTTGTTGTTGTTGTTTTTTTTTTTTGCAAGTTACAGAGACAAGGGTTCTAAAGAATTTTCTCAATTTCCTTTCAATTTCCTGTATATGGCCCTGAAGCATACCTCACTTTATCCTACATCTCAAATACCGATCAGGAATGGCATTACATAACACGATCTGACTGTTATTACAGCATGGGCCGAAACTGGAAAATCACTGAAAATCAGTCACTGATAATGTCTTTAAATATTGAACATATGGGCTTAATCTTGTCACTCACTGTGCAAAACAATTTGCTTGCGAAAAATCTTTAACCTTTTTTATCTGTAAAAACAAAAAGGAAAATAAAATCTATGTGTTCGGCTTAACAAAGTCTTTAGAAATTCAATATCCTGTCCATTTCCCAGCTCTTAGGGTGAGTCCTCCAGGTTTCGGTGGACAAATAACACCTTGGAAACTCGGTGGTCCTCGTCATTCCACAGACAGGATCATATTGTGATTATTGTGACATTTTGTGCTAAGAATTTAGAAAAATATTTACGTTCACTTTAATTAGGAATGGAAGGCATTTGGCTATGTTTTGTAATCAGTATGATGAGTCAATATAATATATAACTGAATATCATAGCAAAACTGAATATAGTTTATTTTTCCTATAAAGACAAGTAATAACTTATTTTATTAAAATGGTTGCTGTCCTTTTCTCTTATTTTCCTTAAAAGTGTCTTTTGGCTATAATTTTTTTTTTTATGCTTCTTAGTCGGAGAATGACAATACTAGTGAGCCATACTATTTCTTTTATGATCAGTTCTTTTGTTCATCTCATCTTCTCTACCTACACACCATTTCACACCACCACACAAACTTTCTCTAGTACATACACACACCGACACATGCCTACTCATTTTCACCCACACACACACATCAAATAAACTGGATTGATGTATAAATTGAACTTGTTTTTGACTTGCAGCTGCAGCTAATCCCTCACATCACACAAGTTTCTAAACACAACACAAAAACCAAACAATCTCAGACAGAATAAAAACAAAGTCAGTATAGAGAACATAAAGATGCCCTAAATCAAAGTACCCCTAGTTGATTGCTTGCTGAAGCTGAGTAGATGTTTCACCATCCAACAGGTCATAGGTTGAACGTTCACACATACTGTTCTACACAAGATGTTGAACATCTTTTATAATTTTGCAGGATGTTAAACATAAGACTTTGAACATCTTGATCTGCAAGATGAACATAAATCCTGCAAAATGATTTAACATCCTGCAAAATTATTTTGGAGGGTGCTAAATATAAGATTTTGAACATCTTATGTTGAAGATGTTCTTATGTTGAACATCTTCAACATTTCAATTTTGAAGGATGAAAAAAGTATTTTCACAATTGTTGTCCTGAACAGTATAAAAGAATGAACAGTTGACAAAAAAGTTACCGATTGTTGACTTTTTCCCCTTTCGGTATAGTTAATTCTGAAGTAATTCACATTTATATAATTACAATGATTAATCTTTACTATGTAAAAGAAAACGTATGGCAGTTAGTTTGTTGTAAAAAGAAAAGTGTAATACTGTTGATCATCTGGCAATACATGATAAAAATGAATTAAATTGAGCTGAACTGATAAATAGTAGGATTCATTTGATTTCTTTCTTTGTTCTTCCTCTTTCATTCTGTCAGAACTTTAAGACTCTTCCTGAAGGACCCCACTTTACCTCTGAAATCCCCTCTGGGCCTCTCTGAGATCATTGGATCAGAATCTAAAACGATCAGTCCAATCCCGTGGCAAAACCAGAGCGTTCCTGGGACATGTTGGCGTGTCTCAGACTTAATGTAGAGTTTCTGTTCCTTTATACAACTGAACGAACGATTGCACGTCGTTGGCTTCCAAAGCTGGAAATCTTAACAGTTGTAAAGAAACATTTGTTTGAGTATGTGCTTCTTTAGAGGTGTCTGGGGCAATATATTATTTCTTTGTAATTTCCTCACTTGCTGGTCATCATCTAAAAGCAAGACCATTTCCGACAGTGATGCAAACTATAAAATCTTTCCACATTTCAAAGTACTTTTTGTTCAGTGCTGCCAGCTGAGTAGTTGGAATTTCACCTCCTGCTGCTCCTGAAGTTGTGACTTGAAAGCTATCTGTGCACCAGATTCTTCCAGGCTGTGAGCTCAATTATTTGTCAGCGAAACCTCTGAGGGGGTTCAGAATGTTTAAGACAGCTTGTTACATGACAGCGGGGAAGCTGGAGTATGTAATTTCATCTTTTCTTTCAACAGGTGCCTTTGCAAACACAATAGCCTGCCAAACAGACAAAGAAATATGCCTGGATGTTGGCAATAGCCAGGTATTTGGGTCTTCGGGGGCGCAATATTTTCCTCACCAGATGGTTGTAATAAGTGAAACACCTTGCAGATATATATACTCGATATGCTGTTGGGGATTCCTGTCTTTCTTTGCTGCGTCGCACACTGTAAATCAAATTTAATATCAGCCGACATAAGGAATGTGTGGTCATAGTGTGTAATTGTTGCAGCAGAGTGACGGGGTCGACCCTAAACTGCTGCAGCCTAACGCATGACCAAAAGCACATTCTGCTTGTGGAGGAACATCATCTGCACTTCACTTTTCAGCTTCAGCTGTTTTTAGAAACAGCTGAAAGCAGGTTTTTACAGACGCTGTCTGCCATTAAAACAGATGAAGCTTGCTGTTTTCAGTCACTTGGGATTAAGCTAGTTTCAGAATATTGAGAAAAACCTCTTTAAAAGTTAGAATTCAGAAGCTTTTTGGATTGCAGTGCCTTCAATTAATTTGGGAAAAATAACATTTTTGATAGCATAGATGATGTTGCGACTTCATGAGCTTCTTAGATTAATTTATAACATCTGAATAAAGTAGAGGCAAACTTATTTTAACATTTATACCACTTTGAATAGTTCTTTTCCCCCATTGGTCCAGAACTTTGGTGCTGGTGTGAATACACTCAAGCAAATTTTGCTGTAGATCAAACATCTGTTCATCTTTTCAGTCATACACAAGTAGAAACTCTCTGGGGTAATAAGACGAGTTCTGTGTCCAAGAGACACGAAAATATGTCGCACAACAAAATACCTCATGAAGGTATTGATTTATGCTGGTCATAAAGTGGCATCCACACTGAAACACGTCTCGTACAACCATGGCCTGAAAGGCTGCAGAGTGAGGAAGAAGAAACAAAAGAAGAAAAAGTCTATTGTATAATGAACACATTCGTGCATCTACTCTTCTAAGGCTGAAGTTAGTATGTTTCATTTGTTCCAAACACCATTCAGTTCTTATCACACAACCTTAATACCTGTCATCAACTGTTATTACTTTCCAGAGTGGTTTGATTGGGTCAGCAACACACAAGAACAGACTCTGCATCATTTCACCCCCTAAATATTCCATTATAAGGACCTAAATTAAGGAAATGTTTCGACTGATATGACTCGGACCCTCTCAAACAAACTTTGTCATCCTTTTTAATTTGTTCTGACATGTGGTGTAGTTGCCAAAATAAATGTTTGGGTGGCTGTGATTTGGCCAAAGGGTCATGGAGGGGCAGTTAGATTGTTAATCTAAGCGTCAGAATCTGTCTGGCATCGTGTCCTCAGCGTGTCAGCATTGAGAAAGATGGGCCAGCTTTAAAAACACACGCTTAGCAGCACAGTGAGTTTTAATGTTTTTTTTTCCTTTCAGTCTTTCAGGGTTGAACCAGCTTTCTGGCACCGAGTGCTGGACCTCAGAAACAATGGTCATTACAGGGACTGAAATGTACATTGACTAAACTTGTACAGAGTCCAGGAAAGCCGGAGCCTTTTTCCACAATCAGAGGTTTTGCTGATTATGTTGCTCGTTATATGGCCGAATTTAAATCTCCCGTTTTAATGTAGACAATTAAAGGATGTTATGTCTGAGGGAAAATCAATTAAGTGGAATTTCATTTTGGACTTTCACCGACTTGATCAGCAGAAAGGCTAATTTGCTTTAACTGTGTGGTGCCACGTTGTAAATATTGAAGAATCATGTCATTAATTTTGATTACAGAGTAAATGGATTCTTGCTACAGCATAAGCATGCTTTCAGAGTAAATAAAATTGTTAAAGTAGAAATGATTAAATGGGCATCCCACCGATTAAACGTTTTCTAATTTTTACCCATGTCTCCCTAGAAGGGTTCCAGGTCTGTTTTTAGTGAAAATATCAAGAGTTGGTTGGAGCAAGCTGAAACTTGGATCATTTTGTGTGAAGGAAATGTGAGCTTATCAAGTGGTCTGTAAAAGAGTATTAGCACTCAGTAAATGACAAAACCAGCGGAAAATAAGCTTGTTAGAAAGCTGGAATCAGTCACAGCTCTAGTTTTCTCACTGCATCTAAAGAAAGCACAGACTTGTTTGCAAAGTCTCAATGTCCCTATTAGGAATACAATTTATGGTATTGAGTGCTTTATAAGAGTAATAATACTGCTTGAACGTTTTTATATTTTGTCTCATAAACTCTGATGTATTTTACTGGGATTCAGTCACGTGAATATAATATTCTCCATAGCTTTGCTTTATCCCTGATCTTGTTCTTAATGTCCCTTTGTCCTCATGATGCTGCTAGTTCTGTAATCTTCTCTAACAGTTTTCTGAAGTCTTTGCAAAAAGCCACAGGTGAACTATGCTTAACTTATAAAGATGTTTGGTGTCCCTGGATTTCATTCAGGAGTAGTAGACTAAAAGAGACTGAATGCATAAGAAGGATACAATTAAATTATTTATATTTAAAAAAAGGACAACTGTACATTAATATTTAGCGTTATTTCCCTCTATCATAGAAAAAAAAGAAAAAATGCTTTAAATATAGAAATAGGGGAACATTTCAAGTAGTAAAAAAATTACTTTTTCTTTAGCTGGAATTAATGTGACTATTTCCACAGTTTTTGGAATAATATTTGTCCAATATTTCAGCTTTACGGACAGGATCAGATTTGACTGTGGATTATGCTCGTGATTGCTTTTAGCATCAAGCAAATCTACGTTACACAGAGCAAATTCATCACTAGATGAAAGAGCTATTGTTTAATTTCCATTATGAAACTCTTTTTAATCAGACAGAAAATGGGACAAAAAGATAATCATTTGTATCAATAGCTTCTTTTCATTTATTGCTCAAGATTTATTTATATATAGCTTAAGTAAAGCAGCAATTAAAGAATACAATTAGCAACATGGACTAGCAAATTCAAATGAAAATGTTCATCTTTTAAATAACCTCTCTAATAGCTGTCAAGGCTCGTCACTTCAGTATATAAGACACCCTAGCTTATGTGCTAATCCTTGAACGTACAAAAAATGGCTTACTGTATGCATTGTTTTGAAACTTCTGATTGTGGCTTGTGCTGAGACAACAAATGTTTTAACATGATCTGTTTATTTCCCTGTTATTTCATCATGGCTGCACTGTAACATTAAGAAGAAAAAAAAAAAAGCTTCATTCTGTTTCTTTGTGTTTAGGAACAAGAAGACCCCAACAAGCTGGCGACCAGCTGGCCCGACTACTACATAGACCGCATCAACTCCATGGCCGCTGTAAGTTACACTTGTTTCTGTCCTTTTTGTTTCAATTATTCTTTTTTTTTCCCATTTAAATTTGCTCAGGCAACCCTGTTCAAAAGAAGTTAAATCTGCTTACAAATGTTGGGTTTTGTGTATCAGAACATAATGAGTTGATCTCCTTCGGCTTGTAAAACGACGTAATTTGCAACAGGGACATTGAAAACCGTTTCTTGTCTTCACAGTTCCTGCTCAGTTTTTGCTCAAAAATTACATTCCACCCTACTTCATCCCCCAAACAAGCTTCATCTCAGACTTTAAAATTTATTGAATATTAAATAGCAAATATTGACACAATCGTGTCAAGCACGGTGGTGAAGGCCTGACGACTGTAGGCCTATTTTTTTGCCATATGATCTGGTCATCTTGAGGTTCCCAATTTAGTTAGTCCTGAATTTCTTTGCAGACTAAACTATTCAAGAGTGAAATTTGAATAGCTGTGAGAGAATGGAATTGAGGAGTTGAGATGGCCCAGTCAAAGTCCAGACCTCAACAAAGGTCTAAATGAGCTGAAAAACCATAGGGAAGAAGTGGACCAAAAATGTTGCTACACTATTCTAGTATAGCATATTTTAGGGTGTACTTTCTTTTCACCCTAACTTTAAATTTTTTTTAAAATGTCTTTCTCAATTTAAGTGCTCTCCTCTCGAGAGGTCACAGCTCTCTCAGCCATTCTTTCTCAGAGGTCTCTCAGGGTGAATTTTTTATCGTGTCCCTGCTGACTGGTGATTGCACTCACATGGCCACATTCCTTCTCTTTGACCCCCGCATTCACACACACACACCCACATCGTGATGACAAACAGGCCATTTAGACACTCAGCAGTTCAGTAAGTGGAAATAACTGTCAGCGACCCAGAGTCAAGATGACAGTATACACTATTTTCCAGTCAGCATTGCAGCCAGTGAAAACAGCTCAACACCATAACAAACTTCTCTTCTGCGACGAGTTCATTGTCATTTAACATGTGCCTTTATGGGGAGGTTGTGTTTTTTGATTCAGTGACCAGTTTGTGCCATTGACCTCTCTCCCAGAGTCCTTACGTGGACGACATGTTGGCTCCAAAAATGTTTGGGAGTCATAAAGCATAATATTTTGGGAAGCTGACATGTAAACAGGAACTTTATAGATGAGCGATGTTAATCGCAATTTTTCCACATTCTACTAAAGTTGATATTTGTATCTTTATTCTTGCGAGTCCTTCCAAGTTGTTGATCAAACGACTGTTTCAATATGATACATGCAGATCAATATGAGCAATCAGACAAAACACAGTGAAATATTGTTGATTGTCAAGTTCTGTTATTTTAGGTTAGACAAAAATAATCTGTGAATTTAAAAAAAACAGTTTCTTTTCAAATGGTTACAGTCTATTCTGTAAATTGGGGAAAAAAAAGCCAAACTAACCTGGTCCTATGTGGAAAAGAGTTAGTCCCCCTTAATCAAATCAGGAATTAACAATTTCACTTTTAGAAAGTTTTCAATTTTACTTGCCACACCAAAGTTTGATTACAAATTCAGAAATCACTTAAATAGAACCTGTCTGACAACATGAAGCAGGCTGAAAGATCTGAAAAAGCAACATAAGAACTGTCATTTACAGCTGTGTGGGAGGGATTACAAATCTATTTCTAGTACTCTGGATTTCCATCTGATCACAGTAAGAGACATTATTCACAAATGAATAAAACACAAAACAGTGAGCAGCGTAGACAGTGTTGTTTACCACCACCAGTGTGTGGATGTGTAAATTGGTGAAATGACTGAATGAAGTATAAAGTGCTTCATTCATACTTGAAAGTATAAATTGCCTGTACTTTAAAAGTACAGGCAATTTGCGATTCATAATTTAAAAAAGAAGAAATAAATCAGGTAAAATGGAAACCACTACTAACCAAATGAAACACAAAGACCACAATGCAATATAAAAATGACTACATATACATTAAAACAAACAAAAAAATCAAAACAAAGGGGGTAAAAGAAAAATAAAACGCCAAAACTTCTTAACTGGGATTAAAAAAATAGAGACAAATTATACAACCCCAAAAGTCGTTAAAAGCCATCCTGAATAAATTGGATTTCAGCTGCTTCTAAGATCTGTAAGTGGACAATTACTTTTTAGGACAATGCATTTTTCTCATGGAAACAAGCAACAACAGCATATGAGCTGTTTTGGGTTTTGAGAGCATTTAAGGTATGCTTCCTTCACATGGCGAACATACAGGCAAAACGAGATCCTACATTTCCATTACTTCAGTCTCAAAATCTGGGAGAACAGTTTTAACTGTCTGGTTCAGGCAGCACCCAGCCTTTCACAAACAGCATCACACTGTAAGCTGAGCTCAGACAAAACTCTGATTTGTAAGCTGTCGAGAGCTGAAAAATCCACCAGTGCTGTTGCAGCACCTTCTGTGCTATTAGTTGTCAGACACACTGTCATCAGACTCCCTGTCAGTGATATGTTTCAGCCTTTCTGTTTTTTAGTACAGTTGCTGCAAACCACTTTGTGCAAATCATCTGTGCAAAGTCTACTTCAATTTACCTGGAACTCTTTAAGCCTTTATGTCCATTTTCTGCTACCTGTTTGCCTCTAATCGTTCTAGTGCTGCAAACTCCTAAATTGAGTCTAGATTTTCCTCCATAAAAATATGGATAGAAAACAGTCAACAAAACCTCTGATGACACTACTCTCGAATTGATTTAAATCAATCATCAGTGACCCCACTTAAAGACAGTCAAAGTACAATCCATGCCAAAAAAATGGGCAATGGATCCTGGACGAGGTCCCGGCTATTGTAACACCCCAGGGGCTTGGTCGTAACAGTGTCAGTATAAGTAATCACTCTAATATCAGGGGGAAGATTTAGACATTGGTAACAACTGGTTATCAAATTCTCAGACATAATTTAACTTGTATTAGGGAAATTCCAATACTATTGGATGATCAGATATTTTTAAAATTGGACAAACACTCTTTTGTTCAACTCCCTCCTTTTGGCTCCATTATTCATCTTTCCATTTTCCAAACAGTGTTTCATTTGCAACCCTCCTTGTTCTCAGCACCGGAGCTCCTAAGTGCTTCTACACTGCAGATCTATGACTTCATGTCTTGGCAAGTAATTGAGCTCACCGGGGACAGACCTTCTACAGTAGCTGAGTTATTAGATGATCTCACTTTGGCTCTGTCGGCCTGAGAGACTGTCTCATGACCTACATCTTGACATTCATTCATAAAGTCACGTTAGAGCTCAATGCCGGGCATAGCAAGCAACCAAGTGCTTGCTGTCCTGACGTTGCTAACCTGATGATGGCATAAGCTTTCCCAAAGAGGAAAAAAAAAACATTCAAAACTTCTTAACTGGGATTAGGCAAGTCACTCAGCCATGACATGGCAGCAGCTTAATAAACCCAAATGCCAGGAATAAAATTATTTATTGTGTATTAAATCAGCTGCAAAACTGATTTTGCCTCATCTTATAAACTGCTGTCCTTTGACCGTCAGGAAAAGCTGCCAGCTAAAACTATGGTTTTACCTGAATTATGTTTTAACACAATATATTTATTAGTATTTATTTACATTTTGGTTTTTGTTACCACTTCAATAAAAGCCGCAATAGTAACTCTGTAGAATTACACAACTTTGTTGATAGAAGTGACTGAAAATGACTTTGGAAAACCACATCTTAAACCTTTTTGAGCAAGAAAGCTAGTTGATATAAGCTGAAGCTTGCAAAGAGAACTTTTTGTTCTTCTCTATGACACAGGAAGATTGTTCCAGAATCATGCAAAAAAAATATAAATAAATAAATAAATAATGCTGCTTCTCCATGTTTAGTTCTGACTCTGGGAATGTAGAATAGTCTTGAACCATAAGACGTGATTAAAAGGGTGATTTAATGATTTGATGGCTGTTGTGTGATTCCTATTCCAGCAGATTACTTTAAATATTATTAAGTGATCATTAAAACCAAATATATGCATTCTGAAATCAATGCAGAGTAAATTACGATATATATGTACTATATCGTACATTTTAACATAGAGTGAAAACTTTCAGGTTTTTATGATGATGTTGCATAATTCTCAACTTTCTCAAACAACAAATCAACATAAATTAAAAATAATGTTGGAGCTCAATAGTTTTTTTTAGCGGTTGAGAAATCATTTTTACTCATTTGATTAACCTAATACTTTGTCTATTGTTTCATTTTTATTTAAACACATTAATGTCCTCTTTTTTCCCCTCTCAGCATTAAAACCATATTTTTATTTGGCATGCCAGTGACCCACATGGTCTGCATTAGTCTTTAGAGCAGAAGCACCAATCAGACTGGTAACAATGCACTCATGATGAGCTCTAAGGGAACGTTCTGGCTCTGGGGTGCATTTCTTATAATAAAGACTCAGAAAAAGTACCATCTGCTAGTTTACCAACAGGCTGTAATGGTATCCTTCTGTGGATGTTGGCCACAGGTATGAATGAGCTTACAAATAACAGACGTAAGGAAGAAGCTGTTGGCTAGACTCTGACATGGAGAGTTGGCCAAGAGAACTGCCTCTTCAGGGTTTCTGGTCTGTCTGTAGTTTATCAGGGTTTTGCAGTCAAAACATTTGTCAATGTTTTGACTGCAATATTTTTTGATTAAGCACTAACTCTGCTGTACAAAATTACCAAGCTAACTTCCAGTTAAGCCTTGGTTGACTATAAGAGTTACATGCTGTAGAATTTGCAAAGCCAACTTCAACTTAGATACCCTGTTGAAGGACCAGGAAAGAAGACATTTTTTTTCAGAGTTGGCAGATCTAACTCAAGTACTGAAATAAACTCAGGTTGACCACTTTGGCAGTGAGCAGCCATGGAAAATGCCTGGAGAGGCTAAACAGAAGCCGTGACTAATGGGAGCACGGCTGCTCTTTGATGCTCCTGACGAAACCTTTTAAGTGACTCAGAGATGCATTAACACTAACACTGGCTTGAGTGTTTTTTATTATTTGCCCTGTTTGTTGTAAGTTTGATTAGAGCCAGTTGTCTGCATAATGTCTGACATGGTGTTTGGTTTCTCTTGAAACACAAGTCACTGAAAGAAGGAACGTGCAATGGTTTTGAAGTGATTGTGCCTGTGAGTGAAAAGATATTAACTTGATACTATTTCTTATGAAGTAAGTCTAAGATGTTGTTATTGGCTATGGATATGAAGGTGGAAACAAGATTTTAAATTAAAAGTAAAAAGGATTATGGGCACACTGTGGAAAGTGTGGCAAATAAGCTGTGAATCATTTACAAACACTAAGGATGTTGCAGCTGGCAAACCATTAGATGCTACAGTAGGAATGTTAGCACTTACTTTGTAGCTTCATAACTAAAAGTATACTTGATTTTTTTTCTGGACTGCATTTGATCATCTGGGGTCCAAAATCTTTTTACTTGGACTGATCCAATCTGAACCTGACACCTCAACACTCAACAGGAATTCTTTGAAACAGCTTGTGATTTATGAAATCTCCAGGACCTGTTCACATTTTAGCAAAACAGATTTTTCTTTCTGTTTCCACATCCCATCTTGATGTAAGCATAGATTTTTGTGGGGAAAAAAAACTACCAATTTGAAAAAAAATAATTTAAATTGGAGATTTTTTTTAACTCTCCCTGAGGTGTTTTTTCTGAAAATGATCAAATGGATGCAATGACATAAGAGATATGAGTATCTCTGACTAAACCACAAAATAATTCTGGGCTAAATTATTGCCAAAGACTTTAAGGAATGCATATTCAATGTAAAACATCCCATTTTGGCACCATTTGGTAATCAAAATAGACAGGTCTGAGATGACAAAAACTCCAAAATGAACAAAATGATGAAGGGATGAACAGAAATATAACCAGAAATATTTTGTACGGGATCCACAATTTAGATCCACGATGATCAGACATTCCTTGTTATATTTGCAGATGCAGACATTGTTTGCCTTTGATGAGGAAGAAATGGAAATGCGGAACAAGGTGGTGGAAGATCTGAAGACAGCACTCCGAACCCAGCCAATGAGGTATGCCCATCATGTGGTGTTTTCCTGGGCTGCAGAGGGTCCAGAGCTCTGCAATGCATGGCTCTCAGTCAAGTCACGCATTCCTGCCATTTGACTTGTTGAGGTAATATCCCACAAACTAATTACGACTAATAATGTAACATACTACTGGAAAGATTTGCTTTACAATAATAGTGCCTCTTGTCATTTGCAATTATCCCACTTAATTACTTCCAACTGAAATGCAACCAATTAGAGGTATTTTTAGCACCGCAGTTTAACGTTTTCCTTCCCTGACATGGTCATCGGCAGCTCTGAGAAAGTGTAAACTTCTCTCCTCTTGCAGTCTGTGACACCCTTACATCCGTACATCAGCCGTTCGTAAGATGTGTGGGGTCTGAACCAAAGTGGGCCTGTTGATTCTTATTTTACTTTTATGCCATGGAGGAGATAAAAAGTCACAGTCTACATCTACAGAGTGACAAAAACTCAGGGTAGCTTTGAAGTCTGGGTCACGTCTGGGTTTTGTGTTTATAGGCCAAGGGAGCATAAACGTTGTTGGGTGTGTGTTCCAAATGCACATGGCTCATTTGCTTTTTTGTTTCAGGGTATCAGTGATGACAAACTCCAGCCCTCCAGGGCCAGAGTTCTCAGCTCTTGAATGGGTACCTTGTCTACACCTGACTCAGATGCATAAATGACTTAAATACAGAAACAAGTTCTACAGAATCCTGTCAAAGACATACTTATTTGATAAATGTTTGCTGGGATAGAGATAAATCTAAAAGTTGAAGGAGACTTGCCCTGCTGGTGATTCCCCACATTTGTTTTTTTTTTTTTTTCACATCACTTCTCAATCATTTTTGTCATTCTTTGTCTCAGCTTCTTGGGCCTCCTTTCTTCTTTTCTGTCGTCTTTGCAGTTATTTCCACTTCTCTCAGCTATGTGCAGGTAATGGAAAGCAGCCATGCCGATGAGGCTGTCTGCTCTGCACGTGTGTCCGCATGCGTTGTTTGTTTACCACCCTAATGAAATAACCGGCGACAGATGCTGGGAAATCATCAGCCGTCTTTTATCTCAAAATGTCATTAAGTCGGTCTGTTTGTCATCTAAGCAGTCAGTCTGTCTTTGACCATTTTGTGTTTCGCTCTGCTGATGAAGCTTAAAGATGGACCGATTGAGGTTTTGAAGTCAGAATTGTCAATTTTGTTTTAAGGGTCTCCATTTGTGCTCATTTGTGTAAATTGCTCTTATTTTAATAATTGTGGTAAAAGTAAAATCTTTTGCAAGTTCCTTAATGGAGATAGTAATTGGAATCCAACAGAAAATAGGGAAACAAGATTATCTACCCTTTTCCTTTACCACATTCTACACAATGTACTATTTGGAGATGCTATGCAGCCAAAATAGTGGAAGACTTCCATTTTGATTAAAATAATGAGCAAGAAAATTAACATTTTAATTTATTTGTTCAGAGCTAACAACGTAATTTGCCAGTTGACAAATTACAAATGAACATACATATTTTCTGTTAGTACTCCATGCTCATTCACCTTTGAAATAAAACACATTAAGGCAAAAGATTATGTAGCAAAGCTATCCAAACCTATATTGAATTGGAATTTTGTTACTGGAAATCTTTAGTTGCCATTTTATTCCTTTATCTCCGCATGAAATTTCAGCCAAATGTAATGTACTACGTCTGTCCAACTGGAAAGATCACTTTAAGACATGTCTTCTTCTTCTGCAAGAATGTACTAGTCACTTTGATATGGACGCCTCCAAAACCAGATTTATGCAAATATATTTTTAAAAGTAAGTAAATTATTCAGTTGTGGCCAGAATTTTTGAGATAAGCAGAACTTAATTTTTTAACAAAAATAAGACTGTTTATCCTCAGGTTTCTGCTAAAGTACTGAAGACAGTCTTGCTTGCTGGATGATGGTTTCTTCATAAGCTGTTATCTATATTAGTTTCAGGCAAAATAGTGACTGGGACCCACATATAGTGCTCCCAGAGTGCTCCTCTGCTGGCAAACCACCGAGTAGTCATTGCATTCGCTTCTCCAGGTACCCCTTCTGTATCAAATAGTCTTAAGGGACACCTCAGTGGGGAAAATACCCTCACCACAGCCAATCTCACTGCCTTGCAATAAAGTCATTGAGATGCAGATCACTCTGCAGCTGGGCTAAAACAGTTGTGGGTTTTGTGATGACAGTAATTTTATTAACTTTACAGTTTTTTGGACAAGAAAGAAGACTACATTGCAAGCAGAGCAGAGCTTTTGCTGATATTGGATAATCTCCATGTGACGATAATCCCTTTTTCGTTTTGCTTTCTCTTGTTCCTACTTCTCATTCAAGTGTTGTTTGTGTTTAATTCAGATAATTTACTTCATCAAACTGTAACGGCTCAATGAGCACTCTTTAGTGATGCACCTGCACCAGTGCTGTTCTTCTCAGGATGAGTTATGGCCCATTAACCCGCACATGGTTCTCACTACTGTAAACTTGATGTGGGCTCCAGGTGCCTCTCACAGAATATGGATGTCTAGGGAATTTGTGGGCAGTGAGTTAATATCCAGCCTTGGACAAATTTGAGACACATGAACATCTAAGGGGAAAAAAAGATAGTTCAGAGCTTAAAGGTCGGCGAGAAATCTGAGCTTGTCGCCAACTTTATGGATCGTTTCTCTGTGTCCTCCGTGAGTCGTCATGCTGTTTTTATGGCCAGCTTTCGTGGGACACGGTTGTTTCTGTCTGTATTCGGCCTTGATTCATGCCTGCCTGAAGTGGCCTCCCTCTCTTTTTCTCCTGGCGTCTTCCCAGAGGCAGCTGGGCCTGGCTGTGAAGAGGGCGTCTTGTTGCCCTCCACTTGTTTTGCTGGGCCACAGGAGATAAACATATGCTGGGTATGCAATGTGCCAGGCAGAGGGCACAACAAGAGCACATTGTCAATGATCCATCCCTTGCTGTCACACTCTCACGCAGGATGATAATTTGTATAGCAAAGTGGCATGTACCTAAAAATGTTTTGCCTGTGTATTTGTTTCATTGACCCAGCTTTAATTTGTAGCTCCTTAATGTACAAATGCCTCCTAAATTTGCATTTTTAATTTTTTATTTGTTGAGCCTAAAATTTAAACAGATGCAGTACATTTATCTGAAATGCAAACTTTGAGAAGACACTTTAGTATTGTCTAATATGCACCTTTAACTTAAATATATAAGTTGAAGGTGAATTTTATATTTTAGTCACTACTAATTTTACCTTTCTGCAGGCCAAAGGGCAAATGGATTTGGTTTGTGAATGATTATGGTCAGATTTTCAGCTTGGCTTCAGTAAAATGTTGGGGAAGAAAATCACCTCATCAGAGCTTTTTGTATGGTTTGACTGTGCCTGCCAGTAATGCACCAATCAATCATGGACTGGTCTAAGTGAGCCAGTTTTTACTTGATTAGCTTTGATGAGCAATCAGTAGGTCAAATGAAAAGTAATCAGTTGCTAATTATATTTTTACTCCCTTAAATGCAACAGTGATGAAGCCCCCCCAGCCCCCTATTTTTGGTTTATAAGCATAATTAATAAGTGATTTGTACTTTTTTTGTCGTTGTCTTGAGTTCAGTAATATCAGTTGATGAACGTTTGGATTTGCTTGTTTTGACATTCTCATGAACAAATTCAGAATCGACACATAAGAGAAAACTGGAAATCAGTTAAAGCCTGCTCACGCTTTGCTCTAACATTTCTTTATCTGAACATATAAACCCCAAGAAAAGTTGTTTACAGGTTAACATTTAATAACTGTTAAATTCCTCACAAACTCTTTGGCCAAAGAACTCACTTGCTGCTTTGACTCTTGCTTGAGTGACAGGCAAATGGATTTGGCCTTGAAAAACCTTCTGTACAGCTGAATGTCAGAGAATACTTACAAATCTCTTCTTCTTGGGAAAAACACTGTCTTCATTCAGAGGCTTCTTCCAATTCACTGTGGTACAGACTGCTACAGAAAATATTTCCTGCCTACAGCCGCCACTATCTACAATTACTCTTTGAAGAATTTGAATTAACATGATTTATAATAACATTTATTTTCCCTTTTGGATCAATAAAGTATTTTTGAACTGCATTTGACTTAAATGAGTGACAAGTCCTCTGTTTTCAGAATAACTTTTTTAAATATTTCACTGAATATTTTGTGTGTGAGCCAATGTAGGTTAAAGTTAAATTATAATCCTTCAGACTTTGCTCTCAAGATTTATTCTCAGAGGTTTCTCCTTTTTTAGATAAAAATACTTCATTACTTCTGTTTATGTTTGCTGTATTTTATGAGACAACTTGATTCTCATAAAATCTCGTGAGCTTTCAGCCTATTTATTTGACTCAGTTGGTGACCCTTTTTGGGAGGTCGCAGGGACATTTAATAACTGTTAAGCATGGAAAGAAGAAGCCACATTTTGCTCCCTCATTAGGCCATAACTGAGATTTATCTCAACAAATAAAACATAAAGTTTCCACTTTGCAGAAATACAAGTAGATCTTGACAAGCCAAAGTAAAGAAAAGACACAGGGAGGGTTTATTCCGATGCTGCAGTCAATACTTCAAGTCATCCATCAAATGTTTTACTCTTTCTGGACAGACAAATATAGGCATACTGAAAATGTTCCCCCTCTGTAAGATCTGTATTGTTTATCATCCATCAAATGGAGCTGGACTTGTGTATTTACCCACAAAAAGCTCAATCTAAACTCAAACAGGCATGTCAGGGCTCATGGACATATACAAACCATGTAACCATGTAGTAGATACACACTCTGTGTTGCACGTTAATTTATCTTCTAAATATTTCAATATTTGTTGCATGTAATTGTGTCAGCACTGTTGCATAACTGTTAGACTCTTGAGTTAAGTGCGCATCTGTGCTGATATTTGCGGCTCTACTCAAAGCGTCTGTGTTTGCATTCTTGCGTCTAAGACACAAAACCCCACAACTGCTGCCATTTAGTTCAAACATTATTGC